GTCACACGAAAAAAACGAGGGCATACAAACAGGGAGCACAAGACAGGAAGTGAAACAGAAATGTGAGGGACAAAAGAGGAAATAAAAAGAGGAAAAAAAGGAAGTAATAATGTATAAACAGTCAAGCAAGGACAGAAGTGGTGGGTGGCAGATGGAAAGCCAGGTGGTGGTTCAGAGTAATGTCAGATAAAATTTGCAAAGAACTTTTTGAAAAGTGTTCTTAAGCTTCAAATGGATGGGCTAGGCCACATAACACAGCAGTTTCAGGAAATTTCACACAATCACAACAACCCTGTTAATCTCTGCGTCTGGTGTATTGAACCTCAACTTACTCAATGCAATTAATATTTGACCTCAACTTGGTTTTTGACTGATTAAGGCACACTTTCACAGTTAAAGGACTATGAACCTTATTCAGTTGCTCAGTGAGATAACTGACAGGGAGAAAGAAACACTGCAAGGAACCACTATAAGTTCATTCACTCATTAATGTGCAAGAAACCCCCCCCACCCCCAGATGAACTGCATTTGTGGTTTAGTGATGATCAAAACAGTGAAATGCTCATGAACTGATCTACTGTGAGCCTCTTAAAAAATCAGAGCACCTGAGCAGAGTGGATCCAGTTGTTCTCTTACATGCAGATAATGAGCATGAGAGCGAAGTATATGGGTGGAGATTAATGTTATGGGAAGTCAGCAATCAGGCAATTAATCAAATACACGTCCCTCTGTCTTCTGTTGCAATTTAGTCCTGACACATAGTGGAAAATGCCTAACCTTTATTTTCTAAGATCACAAACAAACTTGTGCTTATGCAGGTTAAGTTGCACAAGGACCGTTGGGGGATGCCTGGGAATCCACAGTGAGATGAAACGTTAAAACTTACTGCAGCACAGACCCCAGATACTACATGGATTTAAATGAAACAGGGTGTCATTGTATGTATCATCTGATCTAATTCAGAGCATTTAGGCTTTGCAGGCTGGCCGCACACCCGAGGTCATCACGGAAGCTCCAGGCGAGACAGAGAGCTTCGTCTGCAGATCAGAAGCCCACCTTGCTGCTGTCCCGACCCAAGACGGCGTAGCTCATGAACTGCTCAGCATCGGCGTCCAGCTCGTTGGCGTCCTGCAGCGAGCCTTCCACGCTCACCTCCTGAAACCCCTCCTCACCTGATCCCTTCCCTCTGCGCACCACCTTGCGCACGATCTATCGCAGACACACGCGCACACAATCGCACACAGAAGGGTGGGAGAGAGTGATGGGCGAGAGCAGAGAGTGTGGAAAAGGCAGTGAGAAAGACTGGATCGGTGAAATATGCTGGGGGAAAACAAAGCGTGGATTTTGCAGTGTCATGTGCGATGAACAACTTTGTCATGATTATTAGTTTAATAATCGTTCCGTAAAAAGATCCGTGAAAGTGTTGTGATGATAAAACACGACAAAAAAGTGAAAACGGAGACATTCGTGTTCAAGGACGCAATTTAAATGGCTGACCTTTTTTGTGACAATGTTTCCATGTTCATCCGTGAAATGTTCCTCGCTCACTTGCTCCCCAGGAAGATCTTCAACCTCATCACCCTGAGGACAGAGAAAAGCTTTTTTGTAACCATAAACGTTTTGAACTGTGGCAATAAAGGCAGTTAAAACAGCCGTTACTGCAGCGCTGTTTGCATGGCAGATAGGTGAGGAGTGGGTGAGGTTGCTTGTGAGAGAGAAATTAAATCTAACAGTGGGGATCTTATCACTTATAGTTACAATTGATGAGGTTCATTACTACACAACAGTGTTACAGCCCCCTATAATAGCAGCATGTCTTTAGAGCTATTTATAAGTTCAAAGAAATTCCTGAAGCCGGACGCTCGGCCTAAGAACGAGTGAAGGTCGAGCATGTGGAGGCCTGTATGAAACTCTAAAATTGATCTTTATCTCAATTTATATCACACATGAAACTAAATAATAATTAAAAAAAGAAGTGACAAACCTAAAGGGTGCAAGTCCAAAGCTACAGCTTCTGTAACACCTACCCATAATAAAACAATCAACGTGTAAGGAAAAGTAAATTCATTTGTATTATTATCCCTCATTTTAAAAGCTTTCTGGATATTAAGGGAAAATTATCTATTATATGCTTTGTACATAATTTCAATTATATCATAATCCACCAAATCTCAGTGTGATTTTCAGTGTACTTAACAGAATAAATAAAAAATGTGCTGTTTTATAGAGTTTGAGATACAATAAGAAGGAAATGGCAAAGAGCCAATGAGACTTTTTATAGAACTGGAGTCCAAACTTGTTGAGCTGAAGACAATCTATTTACAGTATATCTATAAAAGCAGAAGATATATTTAGTTGCATCCTCAGTCATTTGATATTGTCATAGAAACAAGCAAACATTGATGAAATCCCATCATTGTATGCCACGATTACTTGTGTCCATAATGCTGCACCTTCCCACTCCTCTCAGTAAAACCAGTCAAATAACTCACCACAAACCTATCCTGTATCACTTTCAACTTTTCTTAAATACACTGCATCATCCAAGCGTTCAGCAGCAGCGATTCCCCCCTGCTCTTTCATTTCTTTTTTTCTCTCTTCTGCCACTAAGATCCTTTCTTCAAATTCGTGGATCTCAGTTTTGTTGTACCTTAAGAATGACTCTACGGCGGACGATTCTGGTGGTGACGTTCTCCTCTTCGTCGGGTACTCCCTCGATTTCACCAAGCTCGTGGTCCAGCTGAGTGTGTATGTAGGTGAGCACCGACCGCACCGAGCCACTGGCTATGTGGAGGACATTCTGACAGCTGATCACCAGGAACGCCAGCAGCACGAAGCTAAAGAGGAGTTCGGTAACTAGGGCCCACATTGCCCCACTTTGATCCCCAGTAAATCAACACGGTTGGCACAGAGCAACGCACGACTGCAGCCTCAGTCCCGTAGCTGGTGGTGACTCCTGCTTCTCACACTTCTCTTAGCTAAGGGAGAAGGTAACAGCTGCAGCCCTCTTTTGTCACTGGTTCAGCCAAACTGGTGTTTTCATTTCATTTCTGCCCTCCGTTTGCTGGGGCCGTGGGCCCTTTTCTCCCCACGTCTCTTTCTCCTTCCTAGCGTCGAGTCACAACTATCAAGTCAAAGACACCAGATCCAACCAAAAGCAATCTTGGGAGGCTTCTATTCCCACCTCCCTCACTTTTTGACCATGTGATCTGTGAGCTTTAAATACCTCCATCAGAACGGCTCTGTGCGCTGTGGTAAGAACACTAAGAAACTTCTCACACATGCTCTAACTACAGCCTACACAACAAATTTCTCCTAAAACAATCATAGAATCTATTATGCAGCTGCCACCGCCTCCAAAGCTAAATGTGCTTTTTGGGTATCATTATGACCCACAAGAGGCATGAAGCCCACAAAGGCTCTGAAAGGCTCTATTTTTGTTCTCTCACAGTCTCACAGCTGAGATTGTCCCATACAGTGTGATGTGTCTGTGTTGTGCCAGAAAGTTAACATGTGGGAATGACTGGGGTTGGGATCGTGTAACGCGGGTTGACGAGTGAGGGCGCTTTCTATATTTGGCTGGACACGCTGTTTGTGCCCAAATTGGGCCTAAGACCACTGTGTGTGTTCTTGGCTGTGTGTTTACGTTTGCTGTATGATTCCAGGATCGACATAACATAATTCTGATTAGTGAGGTTTTAAATGGTGACTTCTAGAAGAGGAAGTATGAAAGCAACCGCTTGTGTGTATAACACTGTAATGATTTTGCTGTATCAGGTTTACCTCTGCTGGAGCAGTTCGCCTTTTTTGTTTACACCACAAGAATTTGCTAAATGCAGTTTAACTATAAATACAGTTGTTCATTAATCTGGTTCAGGCTAAAATGTTTGCCAGACATGGTAAAAGGAATAATCCTACTCACTGTGACCACTTTAACTTTGCACGGGTGGTTTAACGTGCTCACCTGGCCCTTCAGGCGGACATCATCCCAGGCCCTCAGCTCTGGTACCCTGTGTGGAAAGCCCAAACCCTTCTCAAATGGTTGGGTACCTCTGAAGTGCCCCCTTAAGATCTCAGAGTGCCCCATGTCCCTCACAGGCTGAAGCAAGGCCTCCTGGGACATTCGGGAAGGGTCTCCATCCACAGCGTTACGCACTGATGACATCATGGTTTCCATGGTTTGCCTGGGTTTAGACTGATTGCCCACCCAAGCCTGAGTAGGGTCAGTGACAGGGATCCATCCCGGGCCTGTCTGCTCCTGCAGGTAAGAAAGGAAAGATCCTCCACCACCACCGTTTCCCCCATTGCCTGACCTGAAAGGAGATCAATGAATTCATTAGGAGGTGGTACATCATAAATATTTACTGATAGTGTTTTATAGCTCCAGGTTATATGACGTCACACCAACTGAGAGGCATACAGAGCTCGGACTCACCTGTCTCCATTCCGATCTGCAGCACTGCTCAGACCAGTTGACTCACTCAACCGAGCATACACCCTTTGCTGTCCTGCAACAAGAGAAAGCCCTTCCTCTGAGCCCATCCCGCCTCCTCCTCCTCCTCCAGTTCCATCACCACCAGTCGTGCTTGTGACGGCTGATGCCTCTGAACTCGCCTCTGACCCCTGACCATTGTTCAGCCCGTTAAGATTGATCCCAGCGATGGTACCCCCGAGCGAAGCTGGTGTGGTGGTGCTGAGCGAGTCAACGCCCATCTCTGAATCGTCTTCGGGCAGCTCAATGGAGCCACTCAGCACCCCACCCCCTCCGCTGGCTGCGCTGGCCTGACTGGCCGGCCGACCTAGACTTCCATACGGCAGCCCCAGCAGACCCTCCGAATCGTCAGCATTGCTGCATTCCAGCGAGGAGTCCTCCACAGCCACCAAGGAAGGGCTGTTGCCTGAGGGCCACACCTGTACATCAGACATCTCCATCAGGGTGTCTTCTTCTGTGGTGGCAATAGGTGCACAGTCCAGGCTGGAGACCTCCTGCCAGTAAGGCTCAGCACCCAGCGGGGAGGGCAGGCTGTACTGCATGGAAGCTGGTGAGAGAAGCTCTTCCTGCGGGAGCCCATAACCTGGAGCGAGACAGAGAGAGGCACACTGACACCCGGCCCCCCGCCTCGCTCCCCACCTCACCCCCCACAGCATCAGGACCCTGGGAGGGGGGGTAAGTTCCCCTGGCCAGTAGCTGGGCATTTAGGGGAGGAGTAGAGGAGGCTGAAGGGACAAATGGGAAAGGAGTGGGGATGGAGGGAGTGGAGGGCCAAGACAATAAGAGCTAGAATAAAGGTGCAAGGAGCTAAGGTCATGAGAGCAAGGGCAGCTTTTAGAAGAGAGGCTGTCAAGCTCAATCAGCCAGCGCTGACAGTAGCAGAGCAGCAGCGGTAGCAGCAGCAGACACAGCCAGCTGAACCAGTAGGCTGAGACTGGGGTTCGAGGCCGGCAGTGGCTGATGCTGCTCTGCTGGCTGCCACCTGCAGGGAGACGGAGAGGGATTATTGACACCTGTCCAGCAGGGACACACAAACACACACCCACTCTGTCTCACACCCACACCAGCACTCACATACGCTCACACTCGTATATGCATGCACTCAAACCCACTCAGAAACAGGCAGGTTAATACCGGTGTCAGGCTGGATGGCATGCTCGCAGGCAATCGCATTTTCTCGCATACACGCACGCATTCTTCACACAGCTGCTCTCTCACTGACTCATACTGTTTTTACAGTGCATTCAATATAACACAACTATGTAAAGATAAAACATAGTAGTATTCAAATTTATGCAAACAAATTACAACAGACTTCAATTTTCTTCTGCTAGGAAAGCCACAATGTTGCTGCCTCAAACAAATTTCAAGTGCAAATATATAATTTAGTAAAACTTTGTGTTAGTAATGAGCTGCGGACTCAGGTCACTCCTACAGCCGTCTTCTGAACAACCTTCGATAAAATATGTTTTTTTTTTCTTTTTCTTTCTTTCTTATGAAACCAGACCTGGCACAACTGAGTACAATGTCCCAGAAAGCATTAAAAAATATTGCAGTAGTAACTTCATGTAACATGCTAAAAATGAAAGAAAATCTAGATGAAGACTACACCTAAGGCTATTTTGCAAATATTAACATTTATATTTTCTAACCTGATTATACTAAATTTGTAAAGAGTGATAAACCTTTACAACATAAATATGTGAACAAATTGAAAAAAATGGTAATGCAGGTAAAGCAAAACATGAGTATCAGTATGACTGACCACTAAAGGACATACTATCCATATGCAGTACATAGATTACAGGAAGCAGAGGAAATGATTCTCCTTAATGTTTGACTCAGAGAGAGCGAGCGAGAGAGAGAGACCATGCGTATGTACTGTACAGTGGTAAGAAAGCTGCAGAGTGCAGGCTGCTGTAACTTGATTCATGGCCAGCAGTAGAGTACTGCTGAGAGTGCAGGCGATATTTGAGACACCAAGCCATCGAAAAGACCCTTGTCCTACTTTCTTTTTCACATCCCAACTGCTTTCAGTTACGTACAGTTGATGATAAACTCTGACTTCTAGTTTGTGATGTAGTTCTTTGACTTATGAAGATTTAGTCTAAACCAGATACAGAACATCTATACACTGCAGGCGTTTGATTTTCACTTGCAATTAAATTTATAGTACTTCAGTGCTACTGTACAAGATTCAAACAATCATTTGGTGTTTATTTAGGTCCCACAAGATACCAGGGCATCTGCTTTAAGAGGTTTAAAGTTTAGAGGCTTCAATTATATTCACTTTTAGTCTTCAAATGCATATATGATTGCCTGATGCCTGAATATATGATTATTAGAATTAAGATCTAATGACAAAGAACTCAAAACCAAATAAACATGACTATCTATCTATCTATCTATCTATCTATCTATCTATCTATCTATCTATCTATCTATCTATCTGAGTTTGTCATCGCTCTCACTTTGTGGCAGTAGATTTGTAAATAACGAGAAAAGAAAGAGATCTGGGGAGAAAATTTGAAATAATAAAAAGTGTGAAATATGGAAAATGTGTCTGACAGATGTATGTACAGAAACATAAATATATATATATATACATATATATAAATAAACGATACAATTTTTGCCCAGTAAACGGGCACATATATGTATGTGGAAGCCACAAAACATTTAAAAAACACGTAGAGATGCTCACACCGATACACGCACACATACACACATAGAGACATATAGACTTCACAGTAATCAATGAGCACATTTAGAAACAGTTGGAGAACAAATTCAAACTGAACATCTCAAAACTCACAGAGACATCAAAGCTAGATAGTTGCACAACATAAGATGGACACGGTTTTACGTAGAATTAGCGACACACAAAACGATCACAGCATTCATACATGAACAGCAGACACAGTTCACAAAAAAAAGGTCTGTGGCCTTTCTGTATCCCCTTTTAAGACAGATCATTGAGGAGTAACAGAGACAGACTGTAGTCATTCTCAGTATACATGCCATGCAAAGACACATGTCTGTTTGTCAGGCAACGTTAGGCACTGATGCAGCATTTGAAGCTTTATCTCCAACAGTCCAGTCTCAGAGTGGGCCCTCATCCCGGTGTCTCCATGCAAACACGAGGGAGATGAGCAATGAGCGAAGTCTTGTTCACATGCCGACATGCAGGAGAGCAGGGAAAAAAAGGGATGGGAAAGGAGGGAAAGGAAGGAGTGGGAAACAGAGAAGAGCAGCAAGAGAGGAAGAGGAATATAAAACAGGGTGATGAACACAGACAGAAACAGTGAGAGAGAGTGAGGGTCACCTCCCCCCTCCCAGTGGGTGCTGAGTACACAGTCTGTGTGAGGGGTATCTGTCACAGAGTGGACACTTAAGAAAGGTGGGGTTTTCAAGAGTCAGGAAAAAAAGAAAAAAAAAGAAAAATGCATTTGTCGCAAAAAATAAAAGCTTAAGATGTGGGTCAGAGGTCAACATGAGGTCAGAGTTCGGAGAGGAAGTGAGAAGGAGGAAGAGTGGGGCGGCTAGGCTGCAGATGACCAGAGAAAAACAAAGAGAGGGACAGAGTCACAGGGAATGAATCAGGGCTCCCAAAAGCACATTCGGTGCACCAACGCTACCTCTAAAGACTCAAACTAAGTCCCATGCAGACACAGGCAGACAGAGGTCTAAAGGAAAAGGGGTTACTCTAGTATGATCAAGTGTATGCTTTGTTTAGTAACCTCGAGTCGCTTTTGAATAAACCTTTGCTTGCTTTTTATTTCAAGTTTGAAGGAATATTTTCTGCAAACACAGTACTTTAAAATATAGAAATCGCGTTTGTTTTTGTGGTGATGGGGAGTCTATAGCGGACCTGATTTTAAATAATCACTGACATGTTTCAATATCCATGAATTTCCTTCCCTTTCTGTCCAAAGTGTCAGATGAGAAGATTGATGCCACACATTTCTGCAGTTAAAAAGCAGCTGGTTAGCTCAGCTTAGCATAAACGTGGAGAAAAAAAGTGAGGTATAGTTAGCTTCTGTCCAGATGTGAAAGCAGTTCATTAGTGTCTTTTTTTAAAAACTTTGTCTAAAGTTTATAGGTCTACGCTGTGGTTTTACTGAGGTTACCTGGTTAAAAATAAAGCCAGGGTTGCTAGCTGCTTCTTCCAGTCTCTTCTCCCTTCATGCTAAGCTAAGCTAACATGCAATGAGACATTATCTTCTCATCTAACTTCTGTGAATAAAGTAAAAACTGAAAATAATTATGTGCGCATTGTTCTTTATTTTTCACCACAATATTTTTAAATACTCTTTTCTTTTTTTTTTTTTTTGTTGCTAGTTTTTACTTTTGCTAGTTTCACTCTTATTCACTGAAAAGTCATGCTGGGTGCCTCACTCTATTGATGTGACTTTAGTAAGTACTGAACTAGATCGTAAATCATAAACCTCTTGATTCTTTTTTTTCCACTGTAAAATAAGTCAAGTAAACAATATCCAGTTTTTGAAATCCGCCAAGTCAAAGCAGGAACGACCTTTGGGAGGCAAATAGCCAAAAAGACAGACAGACAGACAGACAGACAGAAGAGACAGATACAAAGTTATCAGATTCACTGCAGCTGTGATCTGAGTGTCTCCCTTTTCACGCTTTAGCCATCATGGTCACATCCGTATGCATTGTTACATCTCTCTTTATTGCTCCAGTTTTCACGGAGAGGACCTATCACCTGTCCGACTAACTCATCATCTGCACTCGAGGCAGAGAGGAGGAGCCAGTCCAGGAAGACGGGGAGCTCACAGCAGGCCAGATGTGAAAATGGAATCAATAAGATGTAGGGTATGCACGTGTGAAGGAAACCATGAGGAAAAGACTGAGGTCTGACAGTTGGTAAGAAGGCCAAATGTGCGAGGCTTTACTTGTGATCTACATGGACTCATCATGTATGACAAGGTGTTTTTATAGAGAATATGTCATGCTAAATGACAACACATTTTATAGAATTTTTTTTTATGATGCATAAAATTATTGTGAATTATAATTGGAATTAAGCTCAGAACATCTTAACTACCAAACAAGCAAGAAAAAGACTAAACTCTGAGGATAGGAGAATGGAATAACTGAACCAATACACCATTAACCCCCTGAAGTATACCATTTAATTAAGGTTTCCTAGGTACTTCACTGCATTTCTATATTACCCTTTTTACAGTAGGAGTGTCCTGAGTCCCTCTGTGTGTTGCTGAGGTAAAATCCTGCAAAAGTTTGAGGCAGCTTTAAAACACAAGAGCATCACAGAGATTAAATAAGAAGGACATTGGGACAACAGAGTAATTTAGAGGGAAACAAACTTGACTTCATCTTCTGGGGAGTTTGGGGAAAGAGGTGCATGTTTATTGGAAAAGTGGCTGGAGATCAAGGAAATGGGACAGAAATGAGACCAGGCCATGGGATCTGGGGAGGGCGCTTACCATTGGTCATACCAGGGGACAGATGGTCTCTCTCGCTGTGTCGACGTCTGTTGAGATCACGGGATCCTTGTCTCACAGGCTGAGGTGGCTGGCCCTCCAACATGTTGATGATGTCCATGCGGTCGATGCTCTTCAGAGCTGTGTACAAACTCTCCACTGCAGTGAAAAAAAGGAGTCACCGGCATGCATGGAAGAAAGAAGAAGAGGGGTGGGTTTCTAGAAATCATAAAAGTGTAGCTTTGAGTGAAGTGAAATGGCAAATGTCTACAGCAAATTTAGATTTACTGACTCTTTGCCCTCTTGCCCTCGAGAGTGGCCCACAGGTTGAGCAGTGCGGAGCTCTGCTCCAGCAGTGAGTTTGGATTCTCCACACGAATCTTGTTAATGTCATCCACACTCAGCTGAAGCTCACGTGCCAACTCTGTTTAGAAAGTGACAGAAGGAAGATCAAGAAAGCAGGAGAAATATTTATATAATTTGGCGTATGAGTCACGCCGATGAGGCGTACACAGAAGAGAAGGAACAGTCTCTGTAAAATAGCCACGGCTCTTGGCAGAGAAAATAATTAGTTTCATTGGCTGGGCACCATGTGTTAACTTTGTTTAATCAGCAGCATGCTAGCAAACTTGTCAGACATAAGATAAACACGGATGGTTTACCGCACATAAAACAGATCCACTCACCAGCCCAGCTCAGTCCCAACTGTTCTGCAATTACAGCCATCTTCAGCTCTGTCCTTTCCATAGCACTCATTGATGCTGCAGAAAACATAAATATAAAGCTGAGATGCTTAATGATTCTAGGCTGGCTGGAAATTAAGTGCTATGATGAGACATAATGAAGCCATCATCATGTATTATACATTATTCCCTAGAAGGTAGACAGATCTAGTTACATAAAGAAGTGAGAGTGAGAGACTCGTACCCATTGCAGGCTCATTTAGAGCACTGTATCTTTCTCTTAAAGCCAGCGGGGTGAGAGTTCGCCTTCGGTCTTCACTCCCAACAATCTGAAAGAAAACATCAATGCAGTCGGAAATCTCGGAAGAAATGTGAACAAATACATTGAAGGTGTCTTTTAAAGCTTTACCTTGATACATGGAGGCATAGCGATGTTGAGGTTGCAGAGCACATGCTGGCTGTCTTCATACTTGGTGGATTTGCGAAGGAAAGACAAAAATCCAGTGGGCTCTTTACTACTGTCCCTCACCTTAGACGCAGAGGTTAAAGGTTAAAAAAAAATATGACAGATGCATGGGTAGAGAAAGACCTAATGGAGTAACAAATAAAATAAAACTGAAGACAAGTCAAAAGGCAACACCTTAACAGAGACAGGAAGTCGATTATCTCTGAAGGCCTGGAAGCTAAAGCAGCGAGGCTGTTGGGTGGCCTTCCTCACCGGAACAAGATTCCCTGAACACTCCAGGTGAAGTGGCATTCCTTCCATAACCTGTAATCACAGAGGCATTAACACATGTACAAAGAAGTAATCCAATAAGTACAACATGGCCCAAGAACTCGATTGTCCTGTGTAAGAAGGTCTCTGAACTGACCTCTATGTCCCTGCTGCGAGCCACCTCTGTGAAGTTCTCATGCTGCTCCAGAGTTTTATCCATCTTGTCATCAGTCATGCAGTAGCAGCGCAAACGGCCCTCGCGTAGCTCATTCATTTTTGCAAACACCACAAACTTGGCCATGTAAGGTACGGCCGACAGCTCCCTGTACAGCAGGTTGGCAAAGGACACAGCCTCGGCTGTCCGAGGACAGTCTGCGAGCCAGAATCTGGGAGAAAATGATCACGTTCAGTCACATGCATCTGTTCTTTGTCTCTTTATAATCACAGCCAAGCTGCTTACTGCAGTGGTTGTAGATGGCAAAGAATTTGAATAATCTTTCTTTTTTCTGTGTTATGATGACAAATATAATTTCACTGCACATGCTGCTATCTGAACTTACCGTGCAGAAACATTGGTTGTGAAACTGGCACATTCACTAGCATAGATAAGCTTAGTAGTGCCAGTAATGTCCTCCCATTGAGCTGGGGCTGTACCACCTGGGAGTCACAGAGAATGAGAGAGAGCACACCGAGTGATCAGCAGTCATAAAGAGTAAGTCTAGTGATGGCAGCATTTTAAACCAAGTATTTTAACCAAGCCTGACTATCAGCTGCATACACAAATCTTTCTTTGCTTTGGAAGTAAACTGCTGACATTGACACAAAGACCCACGTGACAGCTGTGGCATGGAGTACCTATGACAGAGCAGAGAAGACGCAGACTGGTAGTATCACCCTCCCCAGAGTCTCGAGGGCTCTCCCTCCAAGATGGAGGCAGGGGAATACGTAGGCCGATTGGTCGGTGAAACTTGCGCCTCCGAGGCTCCACCGTGACTACGGGGCTAAAGTTTGCTTGGTTACCGAGAAGCTTTGCAACCAGCTCATCTGGAACTGGCTGAGCCTGAGGTTGGGAGTCGATGATGGCAAAAGGGAGCACGCAACAGGGGGCACGGTTTTGATGAAAGGGAGATTAAATGAAAATAAATAAATATGAAGAAGGATTTTTAAAAAAGATCAGGATGCCACGTGTAATGAGTTGATTGTAGGTGGATGATGAGACAACAGAAGTGGATAACAGAAAGGACAACCAAGTGGGGAAAATTAAAGATGATGAGAAAGAGAGAGAAAGAGAAATAAGGCCGCAGTGAACAAAAGACTTCAACACAGAAACAATACATCTGAAAACCAAATAGTAACACAAACTGGTTGCATGACTTTACAAGTATATTTTTTATTGTAAAATGTAACAAAGTATGTTAACAAGAAGCTTTTACAATCATTAATACAGGAGAGATATCAAGTAAAAAGGCACTGTGGCTTTTCACAAGGCCATTGATGACGCAATTACTACAACAGCATTTTAGTTAAACAGATATGTTCCTAAAATATAGCCATGTAAGAAAATACTGAACATTATATTTCACTAATATTCAGTTACATTCACTATCAGCATTGTTAGTTTGCAAAACCTATCGAGCTCAGATTGAATTCACTCGTGTGCCTAAAAGAAAAACAATTTCATCAAAACAGTAGTAGAAGGTCCACTTTTCATTTTGATTTACTGAAACATGATTTGGAGTCACACAAGCTGCTTAAGCTGCCGATCTATGTATGGAAAGAAGATTTGGAATGAGGAATTAATGCAATCAGAATCTTGAACTGGAACAAAAGAACATGCAGCAAAACAAATGGCAAAACAGTCGGTATCGTTTAAGCAACCAAAATAAAAATCACATGCAAACGAAACCTTGAAATCCCAAATATGCACGTCTGAGAAACAAATAGATGCATACAGCGAAGAATTAGGAAGGCAGAAACTCGAATGAAATCAATATAGTTTTATGTCTGATGACTGGATTGTTGTTTTTAGAGAATTAATGTACAGTTTAACTGTATTTTTAAAAGTAAAATCACATTACTGAATGTATTTTAGTCTTACAGTTAACAGCCCAGTGCCATGATATGTGACTTCTTGATGTGTTGGGGACATGCAGTCCTATGTCTTATATGTCCTCTTAAAAAAATTACTGCTTTACAGAATGTGGTGCAAAATTTGAGCTAATAATTATTTATATTTTTTTTGTTTAGACAGTAAAGACACTAAAAGACTCAAAAGGCTCAAAAATAGATATAAACTTATATGGGCTTATTTTTTTAGATATCTTAATTTAGTGTGTAAAATGCTAAGTACAGAGAATATGGTCAAGAATACATTAGCGAGAAAGACGTCACTGAAATCAGTCCAGTGTTATACAAAGGTGCCAAGTGCATGCAATGTGTGAAATGTAAGGCAAAAAGGTCCTCCCAAAAAAAAAAGAAAAGAAAAAATGGACAAACAGACAAAAACAGTAAAGTAAATCAAAGAAACTTGGCACAAATGCTCATAAGAATACATCATTACACAATCAAAGTAAATCCAACATGCAACACAGGCATTAACGATTCTGTTTCTCCTCTCCTTCCTTCTCCACTTCGTTCCATCTCACCTGCAGCCCCAGACGGACTCGTTTGGTGACTGCTGTCTCGGGAAACGTGGCCTGGACCATCGGCACTAGTTTACTTGTCAGGGAGCCTCCTTCCGGGCCAATCAGGTCACTTTCTTGTTGCACTCGTGACACAACGGCAAAATAAAGGGGGAAGTCGGTAGAGATGATGCGGCGGATTCGCTTCTTCCCAAGTTCTTCTTGGCTTTCTAAATCTGAAGGGAGAAGAAGTGGTTGCGTTTGTTTAACAATGACACTAGGCCGTGGCTTAACTGAGTGTCAGCCTGAGATCAGCCTTTAAACTCTTACCCTCATCCATCCCGTTGAGGATTGTTTCTAGCACCTCGTCCCCGTAACGGTTGCGGTGTTCTTTCCAGACCGAGCCATTCTCGCTCCTCAGCACTACGAGCTCCCGGTCACCACGACTGAGAGCAGCAAAGTGGGGGATCTCCACAATCACCGGTCTGCCACACACACAGAATTACACATGAGTAGAGAAACCCTTTTCTAACAATACATAAAACACTTAAAAAAAAAAGAAAGAAGCTTCCTCACCCCAGAAACTGCATCCCTGCAGGACCCAGGGAAATGATTCTGCTGGCCAGCCCCTCTCCCTCCACCAGTGGAGGGGGGCTGGTCAGCTTCTGCGGCTTCACCAGGCGGCAGGTAATGCGGGTGGGTGCAGCACACGTCCGCGGAGGTATGATGACACGCAGACCATTATGCCTGCTGCCTCGCATTGAACCGCCACGCGCATCCACCATAAAACTGACCAGGAACCTGTTATCGGACAGCGATTGTGACGGTTAGTTTTCCGATCAGATTGTAAGCAGAGATGAAGTGATTCTTATGCTTGCAGTGCTGACCCCGTGTGTATGGGACTGGCGACTGGGCTGACATTGTCTGACGTCTCAGTCGCAGGGCTGCTGGGAATCAGTGAGTCCTCGTCGTATTCTTTGGGCAGTGGAAGTGGAGTGTGTTGCTACAACAGACATAAACAAATAAATGATTTAAATAACTAAAAACTTTTATTACTTATTAAAAAAAAAGGTATGAGAAGCGATATGATGGGTACTGAAAACCTGTGTTTATAGTCACTAAAATTCTAGTTTTACAGGGAATGTTGAGAAGACATTTTGGCAATGACTAAAATTAGGGTTTTATGTCATGTTACAGAAATGCTGAAACAAATGAACCAGTTTACACATTTTAAAACAACATATTTTTTCGTGTATATGAAATATGTCTTATAATAACTCTGAAAGTCACTTACATTTCTTATACTAAATAATATTCACTGCCTTCTTAAAATTATGCGTGGGAATAATTTTTAAAGAGGAAACTTTGACTCTGCCATTGCAGCACTTTGTTCTTTTCTGTTGTAGATTTGCTGCTGTGCTTGGGATCATTGTTTTGTTGCATGACCCAGTTTGGGCCAAGCTTCAGCTGTTGGTCAGATGGCCTCACATTTAACTGTAGAATATGCTGGTATACACATGAATCGATGATGATTTCAATGACTGTAAGTTGCCCAAGGCCGGTGGCCACAAAGCAAGCCCAAATCATCGCCGCTCCACCACCCGCCTGACAGGTGGATAGTCTGACCTTGAGTTGAATTTGCTGGGACGTCTATTCCTGGGAAGACTGATGAGTGTGTTGAATGTTTTCCACAGAATGACCAACTCCAAATTGTTTGGAAATAGCCTCATAACCCTTCCCAGATTGATGTTTAATGACTTTACTCCTGAATGCTAGACCAGAAAACTGCCAAAACCTATGTTTTTATAGAGGTGCTCACACTTACTGATGATCAATTAATCAAGTGCATTTAATTGAAAGCACCTGGCTGCTACTTATGCTCTTAATTCCTATGGAAAATATACGTAAGGGTGTTCTTGTTGTATACCCTTAAACTTGCTTTTTCATATAGCTGTACAATGCAACTATAGGTTGATTCATACTTGATTTTAATAATTACGTTGGCTTTGAATGGGGCCATTTTCAAGAGTAAATAACAGTATAACACATAAAATAGCTATAAAACCTTTTCCCCCTGTTTTTTTCCCCTTTTTTATGCAGGAGCAGAAAGAGGTAGACTAATACTAAAGAGTCTGGCTTTCTCTGCTGCTCCGATTTTGTCATCTGATGATTTTATGAAAGTGCAATAAAAGCATTTACTATTTTAGGTTTTCTGTATCTCAGTGATACTGCTCTGTAGTACCTGATCTATCTCATGTTCTCTCAGGATAACAGGCTCTGGAGAGACACGAGGGATCCGTGGAATGGCTGGCGAATAATTTCTGTTGTAGGAAAAAAGGAAAAAAAAAAAAGTCAGATTTAAGACATTTCTTTGCATCTCCTCCCAAGTGTTCATCCTGGTGTTTAATGTGTGTGTGTCTATGGTGCAACCCCTACGATCCATCCACCTATTAGCTTAAGGTTACTAGCTTGGCTCTCTCCCCTGCTTCCCCGACCAGCCCCCCTTACGCTGTGCCCAGCCCTCTCTCGTACTCCAGTGATTTCTTGGGGGAGAGGAAATCGTCATCATGGTCTTTCATGTCATCCATCTTCATGTACCTGGCCCCTTCTGTCCCCAAGAGCTCCTCTCCTTCAGAGAACAACATGCCAAAGAGAGCGAACAGACCGTGGTCAGGTTGGTGAAACAGCATCAGAGAAAGAGAGAAAGAAGAGAACAGGGTTGTTAACCAGCTGTGAGAAGTGTTAGACAACATGATATCCCAGCTGATGGCTCTGCTATGTGGTGGTTAGACTGGTGAAATGAAACATCGGTGAAAATGATCTGGCCTTATTGTAGTGAGTCAGCAGCACAAACACAAATATATTTTTATCCAGGATACAATAGTAGAATTAAAGCTGCACAGTTGTTCCCACTTTTTGAATAGAAAGGAGTAGATGAAACATTTTCTCCACACAAAACTGGAATTTAAGGGAAATTGTGAAAAAGATGAAATATATGACACACTGGTGGAAAAAACTAAACACAAAGGGATGTGAGAACATGGTTTGAGTGGGAATTTTTTAAAGGACCCAAAAAAGTTGCCTTTCACTGAGAATCTTCTCTTTTCTAACTTGGAGAAACACTGCTAACTGTAGCAACAGAGAAATGGATCAAGCTTTTGGAAATTTGTTTCGGAATAGGAAAAAAGGCATCCATTATTCTGACCGGATTCATTTTTATATGTTTTTGACTAAAAAGCAAAAAAAGGTTTTGTTAAGTGAACTCTAATTTTGAAATCATCACTGAGAGTCATGAACTGATTGTATGAGATGATCATCCCGTGCCTTGTTATCAGGGAGGGAAAGACAAGAACTAACTCTAAGTTGAAGGAAGTGTTTTCCATGTCAGAATCCTTTAAGCTACTCCCAACAATAACGGAGAGGAGAAATAATCTTTTATTATTAAGTACAAGTCCTGGATTTAGGACATGACAAAGAGATTGAATGCATCGCCTGACAACAGCAGCCTGTTAAGAATTGAGACCATCAGTAAAACCTTTTTGTACCAGTTTGGGGAGAGCACTTAAGTGATATTCAGGAGAGGTCACTATGTGGGTAAAAGTACTGTTATCAAATAGATAAATAATTGACCAGTACAAGAATAATGCGATATGCAGAAACCAAAAAACATCTATGGATGTAATAAATGGACAACAAACTGTTAAAAACGGGTTGTTAAAACTACAAGCATATATTCACTTATAATAAAGGGTTAGGCTATAAAATGCCTGCAGTAATCAACAATCTGCTGTTATTATCAAATAAAAACCAGTAAGCAGTAAATTCGACTTCTATTAAACAAAATTGCTACCCCTCTGGCTTTGGAATTAAAAGCTGAGTGAAAGACATCACCCACTCATCGACACCGGAGACTAATGGGATCTCTAATGGGAACGAGATGTCAGCATTTAAGTGTTTCAGATGAGAGAATACCTTTGACAGTCTAGCTGGATTGTTCATACCTTTAATATTCAAGCTCAGGGGCCTGATACAAGATTCAGCATCTGGGTTTTAAGGTGTTAATTTAAGGTGTCACAAGAATGGGGACAAGGCAAAGAGGGGGAAATGAGCAACATAATTCCTTGATGGGGTTGTGTTTATGGCTAATTGTTGGACAAAAGATGTGACGTAGGATGAAAGGAGAAAAAAACGTATTACTGGAATAAACAGTGAAGTGGCCTGAATTAAATGGAAGAAAGTTTCAGTTGTTTTTACTACCTACTATAAAGAATTATGATTTTTACAGTGGGTTCAATGTAGGAATTAAAAATAAAATTGACATTCTGTCAATTAACAAAAACTTGTTTATAATTATAGGAGAGACTGCGCAATGAGCTAATGAGCTTTCTTACAATTTAAGCCCCAAACAGCATTTCGTTATCATGTGGAAAAACTGAGATGTATTCTTATATTAAAATATCTCAGGGTGTGGTTAAACTTCTTCACTCCTCTGAGCCACGAAAGATCAGAGCGGGCTGCATGTGGCCTCCAATGTAAAATGAGTCTCACATCCTTGCTCTAACAGAACACTTCTGCTCCTATAGCTGATCAAATTGCTGGTGAGGACAATAATAATAAACCATCTTATACTATAATATGGGAAATATGGGTGGAGTCACTGCTACAGAGAGCCGATCTGAGGACATCAACAATACAGCAGGACACTGTGGGCAGCTGATTCAGATTAACTGATCTTTACTACATCTGAATAAAAAGATAAAAATGTGCTCTTGACTTTGGAAAAGTTCATAAAATCCAGCTAGAGACAACACTGTTACTGATGAGCAGAGGGTGCATCAGAGCACGGAGCAGCATAATTTAATTTCTAACATTTTAGACAGCCGCTGCTTCAGAGAGTGATGCTGGAGGCGATTTGCTCTAAAAGAGATGAACACAAACACAGAGACAAGCAGAACAACAGAATTTCACTCCACGTATAACACCAACAGTGCAAGTTGCTCTCTGCTGTCCTTAGAACAAAGCACATATCTAGAAGTGAATTGAGGTGCTCTTCAGTTACTTACCCCCCAAAACAGGCGATAATGTTAAAGTGTTAATCAGCATCAAATGGAAATCTTCCCCGTGTGCGTGAATTAGTGACTGCAGCAGCCTGTGTGTCTGCATGAGGTCCCAGAGCCACAGTGATGTCGTAGTTATCATTACACCACGTTTGACTCCATGAGTGCGCTACCCACAGGTTCACAAGTTAGCTCATGTCCTGCGTATCCTCTGTCTTGTGTGCCATGCATGTGTTGAGTAGGCGAAGCAGTCTGCTAATATCAGTTTACCAATCCGGATGTGAGATGTGTCTTTAAGACGGCGACTCAGCTACTTTCTATATTTAGAGCCACACTGACAAACTGTTGGTTGAATTATCAGGGGCCTAAAAATATCAAGACATGATATCCCATGACATTATTGTCAGCGGTATTGTAAACTTCAGGCGTTAAACCTGAGAAACCTTAAACCTGTCATAAGTGATTTTTTTTTGGGCCACACGGGGGCAGCAGAAAATAGCTGTGACCTGACCAACGGTTCATCTGTGACACGACACAACCATAGCATTTTTTTTATCCTGCTTTTCTTTTTACTCCGCTCATAATTCTACGTCCTCTGCTTAATCATGCGCGTAAATGTCTTTTTGTTTAATAGCTCCGTAGCTAACAGTATTCTGCAAAAGTCTCAAGCTATCTCTCATTTCCTTATATTCTGCTTCCAAGTTTCTAAAGTGGTCTTGAACAGTAGTTAGGAGTAGGAACTTTATTTGATTCTATTTTTTAAGCCACTGATGTGGGTTGGAAGAAGTGGAGGACAAGCCTAAAAAACTACCTATAGGAGTGAAGAGTAGCTGAAAGTCAAGTCCTTAAGTGACATGAAAAGATCCAGCAAAGAGCTGACACAAGACCTGAGAGACGCATCTGACCCTTCAGGTGATTCATCTACTGTTCACCTGAACAACACGTCGTATGGAGTGATGACATTTTTGGGCTCTATGTATGTACGGAAGACAGGAGATATGATCCTGAGAGTCTGGATCCATCCGTAAAACACGGTGGAGGCTCTGTCATGGTTTGGGGCTGCATTTCAGGTAGTAGTGTTAGTCAACAGAAAAGTACTATCAAATTTTGATCCACCATGCAGTACTCTCTGAAAACACCTGATTTTCAGCATGACAATGATCTAAAACACAGAAGTGAAAAAAAGGCAGCCAACATCCAAATAAGAGTTTTGAATGTCCTAGTTAGAGATATGACAAGGGAGCTGCCTATGAGAGTTCAGGCTGTGTCAAAGAATAAAGGTGGTAATACCAAATACTGAGCAATTGTAACAAGCTTGAAAATCAAACTCTGTTTTTGCCTTATATACCGTATATTACACATACAACAAGCTGGCAAAGCAAACCATTAGCTGAAAGTGACTCTAACCATGAGGGCAACAGTGGTGTGATAATTATAAGCAACTCCTTTTAGAACCTGGTCATGTGACATATTATTAATGCTAATAGTCCTTTGAGCATTTCTAAGAATCTCTAAGCCCCCAACCCAACAACCAATCAGCCAGCAAACACAGGTCACATGACAGAAACACAAGACAGTAATAAACGATGCAATACATAGAGGCAGATTCACATGGCAATACGGTTACAGTCACACATGTTTCAAATGAATATTAAAAATATGTATATATGACACTAAAATCTAAGTTATTAAAACTCACAAAGAAGGTTTTTTTTGTGTTTTCCTAACTAAAGATTTATATTTGATTTAATATTATTAACAATGAAGGGCTTATGTCAAAGACACCTGGAGAGTCAGAGAATGAGCGTGTTAGCACTGGGACATATCGAGGTTACAGACATGGGTGCTATGGGTGCATGCCAGTGAGAAACCAGAGCCACCACCACAGAGGGGAACGAAGGAGAGAGAGAAAAGCAGTGGCACAAAGATGGCGTGAGTCTGAAATGGAGCCACACACGTAAGAAACAGACATTCATACCTAATGTTAGCTGTGCAATTCCTAAAAAAAAAAAAAAAAAGAGCAAAAGGCAAAAAAATGAGTCGTGAGGGGAAAAATGTTTACATCATCAAACAGTTACAGTGTTCCTGCTGTTTTATTTCAGTGATAATAATGATAATACCTTCATCCTCAGACACATCCAGTATTTCATCCACTGTCTCTGGGAAACTCATGCGATGTTTCTCTGTGGTCGTCTTTTGAGCATGGAGAAAAGAAAACAGTTACCGACAACAGCAAAAGGGAAGGTTGAACTTTTCATACAATATGTTCCCATGTGATTATCACCACCCCTTTTCTGAACATCTCACCATGGAAACTGTCTCCTCAGTGACAAGTTTTAGGACGTCGATCACCGAGATGTAGCCTAACCTCTTCGCGATAGCCAGAGCTGACGTGCCATGCTAAAAGAGAGAGAGTGGGACATCGATGAACACCAAACTTTACGAATGAGGATGACGAAGAGATAATCGCACTCACTGTAGTGGTCTCATTGGGCTGGGCGCCATGCTTCAGCAACAGTGTCACAATATCCGTGTGTCCCTGTTGGGCTGCCTGATGCAGAGGAGTGTAACCAAGCTGTGAGAGAAAAAATACACAAAAGTGTAAAAGTCGGTGTAAACACTAGAATTTCTGTGAGATTTCTAAAGACCACGTTCACGGTAGTCAACAAAAGCTAAATTAAGCCAGATGTGAAAAAACACAGACTTATGAACCAAACGGAAATAAAATAAAACTTACATACGTACATACAAAACTAATAAAAATAAAATGAAAATATTGTAGGAATGTTTTGTCAGTTTGCTTAAATTTGTGATGAGCCTTGATGCCTGAGTTTACTGAGACTGAGACATTACTGTAAGTGATGTAAAAGAAAAATACCCACTACATTATATTAAAAAATAAAGGAAAAGCTTAACATTTTAAGCAAAAATAGACTGCAACGAGCAGCCAACTGAGAAAAAAAACCAAAGAACGTCATATGTGAAAAAGCTGATTAGTCAGTTCATTGCAGCCCTACAGTACATCCCACCTTTTCTTATAGTTGCTTTTTTCCTCTAGCATCTTCATATGAATATGGATAAACGCACACCAGCTTGAAACAGTTACTCTATGTATTACAGCAAACCATGTTTTCAAAAATTTATTCCCTTATGAGCAAAAAACTCCTCTATGTCCTATTAAATCATTTTACACTAACAGCTGGGAAACCCAGCCATCACGAGCTGTGTGTTAACACACTGTAACCGTGGTTACTGACAGACTGTACTGAAGCTCTATGACTCATTCCCATCCGGCTTTAGCTGTAGTTTTCGTCCAGAGCCAGAGGGAGGCACTCACCCTTGTTTTGCTGTTCACGTTGGCTTGTTGCTGCAGGAGGAACTTCACCATCTTGATGTTGCCATAGTGACAAGCTACATGGAGTGGGGTGTAGCCCATCTGAAAGTGGAGAAAACACAGTGAAGGTCGTAACCGGGATCGTAATGATCCCACATGGAGGTTGAGTGTTTTATGAAAAATGTTTTAGAACTGCATACTATGTTTTTGAAATGGTTAAAGTGTTTCAAGAAAAGAAGATTGATTCAAAAATTGATACAAAAAAAAATTATTTTAGGAATTAACAAACAGCGATTGGACCAAAATATAACCAGACAAATCAAAGCTACTCAGACATTTTCTCTTTCAGCTCAAAGACAAAACACCGCGTGACGAAAAGGTCTTACCCGTGTTGCGGCATAGACTGACGCGCCCTGCTTCACCAAGATATCAGCGATTCCAACGTGTCCTTCCTGTGCCACCAGGTGGAGGGGTGTTAACCCACTCTGTTTGTCAGGGTGAAAAGACAAAGGTCAAAAACAGCAAAAACAACATAGACTATAGTTTATTTTACAGTAACATTTCTTTCATTTTTTAAATTTTATCTGTCTTTGCCTTGTTGCCGAGGTTGACGTTGGCCTGTTTGGAGATGAGCAGGGACACCATGTCAGGCCTTCCTTCCTGTGAGGCCAGGTGGAGAGGTGTGACACCCTGTAGTGACTCAGCATTGGCTGATGCTCCATACTGCAGCAGGCTGTTGGCCACCTCCACCTGGTTCTGCTTGGATGCTATATGTAGGGCAGTGTAGCCATTCTAGAAAACAGATGTGGTTTTCTTTTAGAATGACATGAATTCACACACAATACTAAACCATCTGCCTGACCTTGTGTCTATATACGTGTATTTTTAATTTGATTTACCCTGGCTGCACTGTGTGGTGATCCTCCTTTGCTAACAAGAAGGTTAACAACATCCAGGTTGTTGTGATGTACAGCAACGTGCAGCGGAGTGAGACCATTCTGTAGAAAGGGATTCAAACATTAATCAGACTGTGGTAGTTCAAACAAGGATTTATTTAGTTCTTCTTCCAAACAGTCAAGCCCATTATGATTTCCTCACTTTTCCGGCAGCATTTGGGTTGGCTCCTCTTTCCAGAAGCAGCTCTGCTACGTCCACCTTCCCATACTTGGAGGCCACATGGAGTGGAGTGAAGCCTTTCTGCAGACGCACCAACAGGAAAGTGTATAAAACATCAGTTAGGGGTTTTTAGCATTTGGGCAGACAGTTTAAAATTTCACAGCAGAAGGTTGAGCAGGAAGTCTTTACCTTGGTCATCTTAGTCTGTTGAGCCTCCATGTCCAGGAGGATGCGTACAGTTTGCACATGACCTTCCCGGGCAGCGATATGCAGAGGTGTGTGTCCTGCTGTGGTGGTGGAGTTGGGGTTGGCCTTTTGCTCCAGCAGAAGCTTCACTAGCTCCTTGTGGCCCATCCGAGCTGCACAGTGCAGGGGTGTCTGGTCATCCTGTACAGAAGGGAAATTAGCATGTGGATGCAAAACTTGGTCAGCTTCATCTGCCGGTATTCGTGTATCACATTTATTTACAGGACGTTTATGCTTCGGTGTGTAACATCTCTACCTTGGCTTTGGCGTCCACTGGGGCTCCATTCTGCAATAAAAACTCTGCCACCTCATAGTGTCCTGCCCGGGATGCCATATGGAGAGGTGTTTCCACTTTCTGTTCACACACAAACCAAAGAGTCAAATCAATAATGCTCTCAGGAATATGAATTGGTTATTTGAGTTGGACTTGAAATTTCAGTTAGGTACCCACCACATTAGAAGCACTGGGAGAAGCACCTTTCTGCAGCAGGATCTTCACAATGTTGAGATGACCCATAAATGATGCTACGTGCAAAGGGGTTAAGCCGGACTATAAAAAAGGGAGCACAGGATTACAAGAATTAGAAATGATCTTGGGGACTTATTAAATCATCTATATAACTTCACATCTATCTATTTGAACTGTTCTTACCTCAGTCACAGCCTCTAATGATGCCGAGTGTTTGAGCAGGAGATCCATCACACGCATGTGGTTCTTTTTACAAGCAATATGCAAAGGGGTAAAGCCGTTCTGTGAAAGCAAACAGTTATCATTACTACCAAGGTAAAGAGCAACTTTGACTCGTATGACTTAATAAGCTGATCTGGCCTTATTAGAGTATGTTTGTCACTAACCAGAGCCCGAGAGTTGGGTTTGGCCCCTTTGTCCAGCAATACTTTGGCCATACGGTGGTGACCGCAGTGTGCCGCCACATGCAGAGGGGTGAGGTGGTCCAGTGTGATGTCATCAATCTCTGCGTTGTACTGTAGAAGCTGTTTGACGCAGTCCATGTGGTCGCCCTGCGCTGCCATGTGGATTGGAGACAGGCCATTCTGCAAAATAAATAAATAGATAGATAAATAAATATGTTGATTCTTTATTATCTCCAATGGCAGGAAGAAATTTTTCAGATTAAAAACAGAAAATTAAAAAAAAAAGCTCCCAGATTTGTACTTATGACCAAACGAAAGAGTGAAATTCAGAAACACTGTAAGTCATGCTGAAGCAACAGCTTCTCAAACCAAAGCAGGTATGTTGGGCACACATGTCCTCTCTCTTCACATTTCATTTACAAATATAAAAGGCAAGACCACAACCATTACCCCACTCATCAAAATACATCAATTTAGATAGTATGCCACAGTAAGCCAAAGGATTGAGTCTTTCACAATCAGTTGAAAAGATGACGGTTTTTGAATTCTTTCCTGTCTTACTGTTAAAAATAAAACCTTTAAGAGACTTAAAGAATTTTCTTGACGCCTGTAGGGGTTTACCTTAGTCTTTGCATTAATGGGGGCTCCATGGTCCAGCAGGATTTCTATAATCCTAACATGGCCATTTCTTGCTGCACAGTGCAGAGGAGTCAGCTCATCCTAGAGGGGAGTGATTGTTAGTGATTTAGTTAATGAACCATCTAAGTAGGACAATACAGTCAGAGCTTTGGAAACACTAAAGCTTTGAGATGAGAGCTTTGGAAACCTTGGTCTTGGCATCAATCTGAGCCCCTCTGTCCAGGAGGAGTCGGACCATGATCACGTTACCCCGTCTGGATGCAATGTGCAGAGGGGTGATACCGTTCTGTAGAATAGACACAGATGAGCTTAGACAAAAAACTAAAAGAACAGAGAGCAAGTCATGTGACTGACCTTCAGTGACAATTAGTTTTCCCCTACCTTTGGGGTGAAGTTGACATTGGCTCCTCTATTGAGCAGCAGTTGAGCTACGTTCAAGTTTTCATAGTGCGCAGCAATGTGGAGGGGTGTGAATCCAGTCTGCAGGGACACATAAGGTTAACACCATGCTACTTTCATTCCCTTTGCACTTAAGAAACAAACAGCTAAAACACACCAATTACAGACATTCCTGTTCCATTCTGTACACACACACACCTTGCTTAGCACATCAGGATTGGGGTCGTTCTGCAGAAGCACTGCGGCTGTGCGTGTATCATCGTTACGTGCAGCAATGTGCAGCGCAGGGAGGCGGACCTTTCCTTTGGTGCCATAGTTGATGAGCAGGGCTACAACATTTTCATGCCCCTGCTGAAGAGCCACGGCGAGAGGAGTGAATCCATCCTGCAACACACCGGAGAGAACCAGAAGAGAGGTTGACTCATGGAAGGAAAATGAGAGCGATGTAAGGAGAGAGGCTAATGAGAACAAAAACGGAATGAAAACACAGCGGGTGTGGATCAGCAGAGATAGGACTGAGCAATTTGGGCGATAACTCTTCAAAAATGTCTCTCAGCTTAGTGGTACCTCAGTTGGAATGCTCTGATTGGCTCCGTTCTCCAGAAGAAACTTCACAACCTCTAGATGGTTTTCTTGTGCAGCCATGTAGAGTGGAGTGAAACCCTTCTGTCTCAGAAAGACACAACAGGTACGCACACACCCACAACAGCAGCAGAGCAGACACACAAGCACAGCAACAGAGAGACAGTCACAGATGCACACACAGAGATGTAGACAGAGAGGGAACAGCAACACACAGAAATATTGGAACAGAGACACATGTTAACAGATGGAATTGCAATAGTTACTACAGTGGTTTCACAATAGTTAGCCTGAAGAGAAGCCTCTGTGGATTCAGTGACGACTGCTTTGAAAGGCAGCTCTGTCTCACCTGCGACTGAGCGTTGACATTGGCCCCATAGTTAACCAGCTCTTGGACCACCTGCTCCTGCCCTGCCAGGGCTGCGATGTGCAGGGCCGTGTTCCCTTTCTGGTAAAACACAGAAACATGAGAACACAAGCAAACATTTACACGAAATATTACAGGTGAATTCAAAGTGCAAAGTGTTGTTTTTTTTTTTGAGAACTGGCAGCATTACAAGGTGTTAAGTTATCTGTATTGGTGTTGTTCCTGCATCATCACAATAATGTTGCATCAGCATTGCAACTGACCAGTCACGCTGTTGTGATGTCATAGCTTCGCAGTGTGTTAAAAAAAAAGCGAAGAAAAACATTTCTTTAATTTTATAAAATTCTCTTCCAGAACAAATGGTAAGCATTTGTTTACCATTTGTTACCATCCAGAACAAATGGTAAGCATTTGTTTACCATTTGTTACCATCCAGAACAAATGGTAAGCATTTGTTCTTTATTACTTTGTACAACATAAAAAGAAATATTATCAAGTTAGGTTTGCTGTTTACCAAATTTTGGTTACTAGGTTTGGTTTGCTTGTGATAGTATTTCATAGCATTAGCTAACTTCTTGGCTAATGCTAACTAAACTAATCAGACAGCATTATTGGTTGGTTGGGTTGCAGTGTTGATCCTGGGCCAACGTTATGATGATGATGCAGGAATAACACAAACGCATGGATGTCAGCTTGTGCTCATTACGACTATAAAAGATCAGACATTAAAACATTTTTTGACAGGAGCAGCATGTTCCTGCAGTCCTAGCTGGTTCATCACCAACCTCACAGCAGCAAATGACTCAAGGAAGAGTCTTCTTGTCTCAAAACATTAGGCATGTTTCCGAGAAATGTATCTGATATTAAAGCATCTATGATTTTTTTTCTTTTTTCTCCACAAGTGATTTTTGAGGGGTTAAGGTTGCAACACTTATTTTTACCTTCGTGGTGGTTTCCAGTACGATCCCATTATGGAGTAACTCCAGCACCATTTTGACGTGGCCTTCTTTTGAGGCCAGATGAAGCCCATTGAGCCCATTCTGAATGAAAGGGAGAGAAGAGTAGACCTCACACTGAAGGGTCCTACACACACTAAGAGCAGTTTCCTCTAATGAAAAAAATAAACCAAACAGACAGTATATATATATATACACACAAACACTTGAAGACCATGCCAACTGACACTGTTATCACAGTGACTGAATCACTCACAAACCATAGCATGCACATACTTACACTGGACACCATGCATGCGGTACTCTCAGAATCAGAGTGGCCATTAGCAAAAACACTGTCTACAGGGATGAAAATCAAGATGAAAAATCTTTCATTTGATTAATGATCATGAAAGGAGGAGGGTGACGGGAGGGAGATGGCAGGCCGCTGGTCTCGTGGCCGGGAAGAATACGAGCCGTGTGGGATAGGTCTGACCTCACACAGCCTTCCTTCAGCCGCACAGGACATGTGAGGTTGGACCTTTCCCACACCACTGATATTATTCCTCTGAGTGGAGAGACCACAGCACACCATCACTCTACTGCAGACAAAGGAGGGAAGAAAAGGGGGGAGGTAGGTAAAAAAGGTAAAAATAAAAATCAAGACAAAAAGGAGGCGAGTTAGAAACAGTAGATAAACAGGCAAAGAGAGATGGCAGTGGAGGATCAGTTAGACTGAGAGGGACAGGGAGGGAAGAAAATATAGTGAGGGAGGGGCTGGAGTGAGGCAGCGTGCTGGCGAGTGAGCCATGGCAGAGGTATCCACACAAAGAAGGAACAGTTAAGCCTCCACCTGGCCAAACTCCCACCATACTGACTCAAACTGTCACACAACCACTGAGGTTTAAGGGACAATCTACAGCTTTTGCCAGATAGCCTGTCGCTCTGTGCGTGTTCCAGCAATAACTGCAATGGCAATACACATAATAATAATAATAGCTTACATTTGGTCGAAGCTATTGGTGTAAGCCATGTGAAGTAAAAGACTAGGTTTGCTTGGTTTTTATCCAAAAAACAATGTAAAATGGTTTAAAATAAGACACAAAGCAGACACCAGTTATTCCAATATGTCATGAATAAATTCCACATTCAGGGACCGTAACTGTAAGTGAAACAGGAATGCTGTAGATTATCTCTGTAGGTCAAAAACATTTGATGCCAAACAGTAAAAAGACAAAACAACTTCATGTTGAGTATCTACAACACAATGAAATGAAAGTGTGTCATTCAGGAAAACACATCTACCAAGGTATCGTAGTTTTTCTGCATGTACATAGTCACATTTTTAATCAGTGGGGTGTATCCCTTTGTCATTGTAGAGCCGTTTTCCAGTAATGGTCGGGACAGTGCCATTTTATACAAATAAACCTGTCATTATGTGGGGTCCGTTGCGGTGATGGTGAATAGGGCTCACAGAAATCCTGACAGGAGCATTACCACCAAATAATTAGAAAGTGCTGAGGGCACCATACAGTAAGCAAATGGAAGGGAAACCATGACTAAGTTAGATTAATGAGCCATAGTATTCTCTCGTGCGCACATACAGGTTTTGGCCAAGTTTCTGTAGCCTGCGGGCCTCACTCCTAGCCCACTAACACTATCTCTTCCTGGACGCTGTCAGCATAAAGGAGGATGGAAATGGGGCGAAGGAAAAGCCCCTGCCCCATTTATTATCTCCTCTGGAGACCCTTTAAAACCCGACCTGTCACCTTCAGCCACTGATTAACAGTCTAACCGAGCGTACACATACAGTGCACTGGATGGCACACAAATTTAGTAGTCAGTTTAGAGACTTCATGCACACTGAACACAACACACATATGCAGTAAACATTGGTAACACAGAGAAAATCTGAGGAGAACATAATTGGGTTAGGGATTTTATTTTAAATGGCGCCACGTACTCGTTGTATCTATCCCACTGTAACCTATAGGAGAAACTTAAAAGTACTGCAGGTACTACTCAGTGCAGAGCTACAAAAATACCTAATTTTATTTCATTTTTGGAGACACTGCTACTACACCATCCATTCACACTTTTTTATAGTGAGCAGTCCACCAATATCCTAAAAATTTAATTTAATGAGTTAGAAAGCAGATAGTGAGCCAGGAGACTAAAACCCTGGCAGAATTTGACTGTGGGCACATGAAAAGTAATAAATAAAGTTCGGTTTCTACTTTTGTGCACTACAGCACAATATGTTTAAGGACCAGGTTTGCTGATAAGCAAAATTACATAACGCGAATTAAGAACCAAGAAAACCACGTGCAGTCTGAATAAAAGTGACTGGCTGGTAGTTAGATATGCACGCCAGTCTTGATATTTAATCTGGTGAATGAGCTCTCTCACCTGATTGGCTGTATTTATATCAATGCCATTTTTGATGTGTTCCAAGGCCTTGTCCAGGTTGCCAGAACGGGCTGCTCGGAGAAAACTGTTGCCAGCATCTGCCTGCAACAGAAACAGGGAGAGAGGAGGAAAGAGGGGGATAAAGGGGTACAAGAGAAAGTGAGAGATGCATAAAAGTAGAGGACAAGAGAGGGAAAATGGAGAGAGAGAGAGACAGTGTTTGGTTATTTTTGGGAAAAATGCATTATAAGGACTGAGAGCGATAGCATGATGGCAGTCGTCCATCAGTTTTCCTCTCATTTCACTCCTCCCTTGGGTATTTTGGACAGTGCAGTTTGAAAATCTACATCGTGAATCTACATATATGGGTGTGTTAGAGGGTTTGTTGGGCATGTAGGCAAATGTATTAGAAAATATTGGCCACAAGTCTTTCTTTCACTCAGGTGATAAGGCAAGTGTGATGACACCAGTAGTCTGTGGTGTGTGTGTGTGTGTGTGTGTGTGTGTGTGTGTGTGTGTGTGTGTGTGTGTGTGTGTGTGTGTGTGTGTGTGAGTGAAAGAGACAAAGGTAAAAAGAGAAAAGACAGAGAGTGTGTGAGGCTTTGGTGAGCTCTGGCTCACAGGCCGGCACATGGCATGTTCTCTGTTTTTGTCTGTGTTGTTTTTTTTCTGTGTCTGAGGGGTTCATGCCTCTTCCAGGCAGGAAGGCAGGCAGGGGTGCCGCTGAAACAGGATCACTCATGTGGCACGGGGGGGAAGCAAGGGAGAGGAACAGAAGCAGGAGCATGAGCGACCGAGGGAGAACCACAGGGAGAAAGTCGACTGCAGCAAAGCCCCACACCTTTTTATTTCATTTACATAATCTCCTCTCTTGGCTATCCCTTCCCTACATCCTCTTCCCATCTGAATGGACATCTCAACATGCTGGTCAGGAAGAATAAACAGCTGTTCACTGTATGCATTTGCATAAACACAAATAATAAAGTTATTGACTGTACAAATCCCTCGTTTTTTGTTCCAAAAGAAAAACACCAAATGCTGCTGCGCACTACAAAAGATGGTTTCCTCAGTGCTTTATGCTGTGTTGACTATTGTAGTGACAGGGTTGTTGGTCCTCTTTTGACAGAGAGAGAGCAGGCCGGGGTATAAAAGAGAAAGGATCCACATGCCTGAAGTAGAGGCATAGCAACAAATGACACCACACACCCTCAGCATGACACCAATGGCACAGCGCTGCGCAAAGAGAGAGGTCACTTTAAAACAAAAAAGAAAAAAGAGGAGAAACGACAATGGAAGGGAAACAGAAAACCTTTAAAGGAAAAGTTGCTTCCAGCTGACTGTGGCAGCAAAACAACAGTCCCGAGTATCAGAGATGAAATCTACTCAGTGGCAAAGTTTCCACTTATCAGATGAACCTCGTGCAGCAAGCAGCACCCTGAGCGTGAAGTATTAAACACTGGGCTTCTGAGTACACCCACTCCTCCAGAGCCATTTGCTCTGGAGTTGCAGTACAACTTCTCATATACATGTGTGTTTTAAAAGGGAAAGTGCTAGTTAGATAGTCCCACAATAAAAGAAAACAAATCATGGATGTACCAGAAAGCAAACTGACTTATAAATACATGATATGATATCTAGATCTTAATTCATGGCAGTTATATTTATTGAAAAAATATCAAAAAGACATCAAAAAGCAATAAAAATAAACATAATACACTAATAATTAGGAATAAATCATTAGTTATAGGTGACTGCTTTAATACTCACAGATCCTAAGTTAACTTGGTTCACCATCTTCCTGCTGAGTTACTCCAAGACTTTCTCATCCTCTTTCACTTTGAAGAAGATAACAACCCACAAACCCCTCCCTCTACACAGCTGCGATCAGACTGACCTCCACACACAAACACCTGTCACTGGAGTTCTGATCACCACACTCTAAACACACGTGCATACCTCCCTTTATTCATTTCATTAATGTAATTCAAATAGAGGTTGTACTTTTAATAATTGCCCATATCTCATTTAGTTAAACTTGCGCATGTCTATGCAACAGCTAAATATAAATATCAGACGGCACAAAATTTACATAATGTAACAGAGTGCATGTGAGGTTTCTGTTGCATGCGAGGTTTGCAGACCATGGTGACACACAGAGACACTCTCATCAAAGTAAAGGCAAATACAGCTGATGCAAACACACCCCCAACACAATATACATGGTCTCACAGCAAATGGTAACACCATAGTGACCCCGGCTGAGGCCCCTCTACAGTTGTCCAACCCATCTTGGACTCAGACCACTGCCACCCACCCCATTGCTTCTCTTTAAGGTGAGGCTTTCCTAGTCCTGCAGGCTCATATGTGTCTGTATGTTTCTCTAACTATCTGCTTGCGTCAAGAAGTGAGTGTGTGGTGTGCTAAGATAAAGATGCAGGGTAACCGCACCCATCTGCCAAACTCAGAGACAAGCAGGTACAGAGCTCATACACAGAGCAGAGAAAACACATGCAGTCTAAAAGCTGCTGTGTGGTTTTTCTCGTGTTGCACTCTGCTGGATCGTGTTACGAGTTAGATGAATGAATCCCTCCACGATTATTCCCAAAGAGAATGGACGAGCTTACGACTCCTGGGCTGCGCAGAAATGAGCAGACACATTAATCATACTGCTTGAAGCAAACGACGCAGACAATAACCTGTTCAGAAGCTCCACGGTTAACATTAGCAGTATCAACGCACGGTGTCATGCAGTGTGCATGCAGCTGTCCTCGGGCTGAGACAGTGCAAGGCTCGTTATAATGAAGCTCAAAATTACCAAGTAAAATTATTCCCCTATCATCACTCATCACAGAAAATCCTCTACCCTGAGCTCCCCTACTCGCCCTGCCCCTATCTCAGCTTTTCTTTCCTGTTGCTTTATTTCCCTCCTCTACCCCCTGCTCCTTACCCATCTATCCCCCCCCCCACCTTCGCTTGCCTCCTCTGCTGGTTTTGCAGCAGACAGGATGACATCATCCCCTCGCCAGTGGACTGCAGTGTTCAAAGACTCAAAGTGTGCATATGTGCTTGTATGCACGTGTCGGATATTAATTTCCTATCCCATTGACTGAGGCCCTAAAACTCACCTGAACATTCATTATTTTCTTTTTGCAGCTATTTCACATTAAAGGGTTTTTATGACCAGTCTGGATGAAGTCAGACTGAATGGGGAAGTAAAAACAATGCAAGGCATGAATGGGAAGTCTGCCTGCTGGAGAGTACCAGATACTTCTAATAGAAATCTAACAGCATAATTCAGGAAAACAGCCATTGTGACCCCTTAAAGGTTAGTCTGTATCTGCCAAAAACTTTTTTTGCACCCTTTTTTTCTTTTTGATGCCTTTAGTGGTGGATCTTATTTATTTTAGGAATCACTGATTCTAGACTGGTTAGCCCGAGTCTGGCCTAGTCTCAATGCTGCGCAAAAAAAAAGAAAGAACTCAAAATATTTTACGAGTACAATCAACAGACAAATCCTGAATCTCTTCCACAGGATGTCAACAAAATAATCAGACTTATAACCAGTTTCAGAAAATCTCAATATTTCTATCAAAATTAGCACAAAATCTACAAAACAGACACAGTCCCCTTCCTCTCAAACACGCTAACACACGCATACACACACTTACACACAGGTATGCAAACAGCACAGTATGAATCTGCAGACACAGCACCAGGTGCAAATCATAAATATTTTAAGTGCCACCACAGCTATTTGTGCTACCAGCAGAAAGGTGAAAATAAGGTGCCTGCGTATGTTCAGTGTGTCACAAGTACTGCTTTTCTTGCAATAATAATTTCCTGAACTTTAAACAACATGAACTGTGTAAGCACACCAAACTCTAGATGATGTCTAGTGTTTTTCCCTTCCTAAACTCAGTGCCTCGATGTGTTTGGGCTAACACTGGAATCTGGGAGTTTCTGTACATTTTCAGGGGACACTGAAAAAAAGATATGGAAATTCCAAGCAAAATGCTTAAACAGCAATTTCAACAGTATTTTCTGCTGACTTGCATTTGCTCAGAAAATCTTTTTTTTCCCCCCTCTGTCCCTTTTTCTGTGCTCTCCCTCTTTGCCTTTAGATCTCAGGCTGCCTGGAGTGCTTGAGCAGGCAGCAGGTTGTTTCTGTCTGAAGAGATGTAGCAAGTGCAGAGTCTGTCAGATGGAGACCCTCAGGACTGCTGGGTTCTGGACACATTAACAGGAAACGAATGAGAGGGGCACAACTGGGATGAAGCTGTTACATTCCCCAACTCAGCTCTGTCAGTCTGCATGTAAATGTGCCCCCTGTCCAATCATTTGTCTCTCTGCGGATATTCCTTGTATGTGACAAAGCGTATTGTCCCATTTTTACTATTTACTTTCTCACACTCCGAGCCCCCCCTCCCACTCCACAGCCCACTGTTTGTCCCTGCCAAACTCGATGATTGTCTCTTTATATTTGGGCCTGCTGAAGCCTCTGCATTTGTAGATGAGATTGTCATGGTTATTATTGCCATGGTTATTGTGATGTTTTTGACAGAGGACAAAGGGAGTGAAAGCCATAGGATGACGATAGGTTTTGCAACTGATTGCAAACACACACTCTCACACACACACACACACCACAACATTCCTACACAGATGCCAGACACACCAGAACACACAGAACACATCTATTGTGTATTTATTTTTTGACAGATGTTCACCATACTTGTCAGTACAGACTCAGGTGTACACCACAGTAGATCCTGTTTACACACACACATGACACTACACACACATAATTGAGTTTTACCTCACACACACACACATATTATATCTATATTTATTTATTTTTAAATCTACCACTGTAGAACTGCCTTTGTATAAATCTTTGTTGTACACTGAGTATTGCCTCAGTATTGCAGCTTAATCAATCGCTACAGAAACCCAGTAAACCTCATGTTGTAGGTTTTTTGTTTTGTTTTTTTGCTGGGCTTTTACACTTTTTTTTTAAAATTACATTTACATTACAACTCCTAATTTTTTTTAACTGGAAACATTGTATTTTTCTTTCTTGACCACATTTATATGACTGTAATAGTAACTACTGCCTTTTCCCTGAATTTACCTATAAAATATGCAATAATTTTATATGGACTTCATGTTTTTCTCATAAATTAAACTACTGATGTGCAAAACCACACATTTTTAACATCTTAAGCAGCTGCTGCGTTAAAATTCTTCCTAGATGTTAAAAGTAGCAGTTAGAGATAGCAAGAAATGGGTCTTCTTCATAATTCATTTTTAAAAATATAGAGTACTTTTAGCTAAGTAAAATATCAAACTTGTAAGTAAACATAGCCTTACCCCAATGATATATTATATTATATTATATTATATTATATTATATTATATTATATTATAAAGAAAAATAAAGTGACTTTTGGAATATAATCAAACAGTTTTCTAACTAAAACACGTCAGTTAAAATTCATCTATGTTTGCTCCCTTATTGCCAAGACTCCACAAATTTTATATTCAGATCAGGGTTTCTTTTCATCATTGATGAAGACTTGGATCTCAGAGAGGATAAAAGCCCAACTTTACTTTATATATTTACCCTTTATTAGTTACTTTTTCTATTTGGCAATTCACTTTGGAAGGTATAATTGTGCAGACACTAATAGAAGTGGGAAAAAAAAACCTCCAGACAGTGGATGGTTCTGAGAAGTTTAACCTTCACTGATTGCATGGTGACTATATCTGTAGTTCATCCTCACGCCAATAAACTACACATAGAAGCTGCATCGTCAAGAGTAAACTCTTACAATCACTTCTTCTTTTACTGCAGATAAACTCCAGGAAACACAAAAAAGCACACGAACTCAAGTAGTAAGGCCTTGTGAGTCTGTGCCCTGTGTTGCCATTACCTGCACTGGGTGAGCACATGAAAGCCACACTTAAAGCTCTCATTAACCGACCCTCTAATCAGTTTTACCGACCTCTGGTTTACTTACCGCAGCTAATCCTGGTACAATCTGAACATCAAACAGACAAATTAAGTCAAAAACAAGATTAAGGTTGGAAACAGAACATGACACACACCCACATGTATACGCACTTACACTAATCTTGGGTGCACATGCATGACAATTTTCAAAGATACTCCCAAGCAACCAAACTCACTCCCACGTCTAAATAGGCTGTTTTTCTAGCACTCAATCACCTCTATAGATGTTTGATTAAAACCGCATGAAGCTGGTGTGTAGTCCATAAAGAACAGATCAGATTCTCAATGAGCAGAATCAATGTTTACTCCTCCAGGACTTGTGTTACTTTTTCTCTTCTTAAAAACAAGGCCCTGTTCAGGACTGAAAAGGAGAGGCAGTGAAAGCAGCGCTGAAGACAACGCTCCCAAACAGTTAATGTGGACAGACAGAGAATAAGAATGGCACTTTGCAAACAGACAGCCAACAGAAAGAGCCGTGTGCTGAATAAAATGAGCTGAAACAAATACCAATACATCAATATTCATGTGTGAGATAAAGAAAATATGAAAGGAAAGGATTTAAAACAGGGAGCAAAGCCAGCGAGAAAAAGGTACTGGACCATCACAGTGTGATGTAGAAAGGTTAAGAGAGGGAACGCTGGCAGGTGCATTACAGCTGAGAAAATGCAATGATTTTACAGTGGAGCAAAATGCTATTAAAAAAGACAGCAGAACGAGTATTAGAGAGACATACAGTCATATGAAGAGACAGGAATATTTACAGGACAAGAGATACAGTATGAGTGCAGCAAGAAGAAGGTGAGACAGAGAACAGCAGAGTCTGTGTACTCACTCCAAAAGTGACGCTCTTGACTGGCATGCCTGTTGGCCCTCCACTCTCTCTTTCTTACGTTTTCTGTTTCTCTCAAACACACAGCTGTCTTTTCTGTTGCCCCCTGCAAGTGCTGCGGTACAGGGCACGTAGACCCCCATCCAACGTAAACACGAAAACCACTCACACACACACATATACACACGCCCAGACACACACACTTGAGTAAGCATGGTGGGTGGAGATATTGGGTAGGGTGGGGGTTGAGGGGATGGGGGGCCCAGGGGTTTATCTCTGGAGGAATGCTGCCTGTATCTAAGGACACACATTTCACACGCAGCCGAAAACAAATGGGCACCCCCACACTCTGCCCGTGGATTTCCTGCCTCCATCCGTGTTCCTTCTCGGCTCCATTTCCACTCATATTTTTGAACTATCCTTACTTTTCTCATGTACCCCACCCGTTTCGTGCCCTTTTTCGGTCTTCCATCACACTCTGCTCTGCTGTCCACCTCTTCTGTCCCCTCCACCTTTCACATTTGTTGCACCCCGACACTCTGTGTCACCCCAACTTTATCCCTCCTTTCTCCTGTCCCTGCTTGCCCGCATGTCACGCCCATCGCTGTGTCTCCTGTATGTTTTGTGACAGCCAGACAATCAATTTTTTTCTAAGACCAGGCAGAATACCAGAATAGTGCAGAGTTACTGTGGCGAATGGGTGTGTTTTTTCCGAGTGGGTCCGTTTCAGTCTGCGAGGTGACTTACAGTGACAAAGCGCCCGGTGGGGGGGTTGCTGCCACCGCCCAGTGACAATGGGGCCAGACACATGGGGTGGAGGGGTGGGGGGGAGCACGGAGGGGCCAGGCTCTCAAAAGGCCCTGCCTCTTTTAATAAAGCGTCCGTCATTCCTCGCTTGAAAGGACCTCCTTTTCTCTCCCTCTCCCCTCCTCTCTCCCTCTCCTGGCTAAATGCTGGGAAAAGCACATCGCTGCCAAAACCATGCAGAGAGATAAATGCTAGTAGGAGAGATGAAGGAGGGGGCATGGCAGAAAGGAGGCTATACACTACTCAGTACCACTGGACCGTGACCTGGGCAAAAACATCACGTGGGACGTCTGTGCTGTCCACAGAATTGAGTTTGGACAGTGACGAGAGCTCCAGTGAAAAAGAATGTTGAGGCAGTGGACAACGAGTACTAATGCCCATGAAGACATGACAAATTATCCCATGCTTCTCCAAGAAGCGTACTAACATCAGCGTACTCTTGCCAAGCCAGCAGAGAGTAACGCAAATTATATGAGGGGAAGAATGATAACCTCTCAGATCCTTGTTGATAAGACTTTTTCCCCAAAGGTGTGGCAGAATTAAGTGAGTGATGAGACCCACCTGAGTTTTTCTCAGCAGGTGCAGTCAGCTTAAAAGTGTCATTGTTACTCATGACACAGTAAGACAATCAAGTAGTCAATAGTTTATGAGGTATTATAGTAGGATTTTTGATTATGGTGCTTTGCAGGCTTTCCTGCAAGACTTTTCTTCCTTTTTAAGTCAACTGTGTGACAGATGTTGTGGGTCAGAACTCACCTGTTCTGCTTACCGGTACTAACCATACAGCTTAAATCTGTAAGAGCACTCTTGCAGGTGGCCTCATAGCGAACTAGTGGCCGACCAACTTTTCTTGTCCCTTCAGCCAGCTGCCCATTTATCAGGGTTTGATTGGCCAGTCATCATCCATGCGGCAAACATGGCCCATCCAATATAGGTGATTTCCAAACAATTTGATCTTTATGTCCTCTACGCTGGCATTTTCTAGGACTTCCTTATTTTAGACAAAATGATCCCATTTGATTCGTCACATAGACCTCAACCTTTAAAAGCTAATAACACATGAAGGATTCAACAAGGATAAATATATGTAAAGCATTGCTGTGCTTTATTTCTAATGCAGGTGAGAGTTTTTAAAGCTGTGTTATCAATCATTTAGTCCCCATCTAGGCTGTAACTCTTATACCCTTGCACAAAGATGTATTCTTATTTATTCTCTTAAAGAGACAGAGATCTAACTGAGAGTGATTTCAGGTCATTATCGAGCTCAGGCCACACTGCTGTTTTGTAACAGGGTTGATTTAAGTTGGAGACAGACATGCCCTCTGCACCCTGTGTCACGCTCCTCTTGTTTGCAGGATAAAGGGTTGCGACTGTCCACGTGTGGTGCTTGTGGTGGTTTATTGCCCGTGTCCTGATGCTTCAGAGAACAGTGATCAGAGAGAAAAAAAACTGTAAAGAAAAAAAGCCACACACTGTAGTCTGTACCTATTCTCACTATTTCACACCACAGACCTAAAGTTAGCATTTTAGGATCAAACATATGAAGTAGCAATAGCAGTAGGAACTATACTGGTGGAAACCAGAGAGGATTCATTTGGAAAAAAAGAAGAAAAAAAAACTTTAAGTAAAAATAACAAAATGCATTCTCTGAAGGCAACATTTTCAAAGCAGAAAACACGTGCATTATCAGTCATAATGACAAAACTCTATACCATATTCTCTTTGAATTCCAACATAATGCTATTTCTATGTAAGGTTGCACAGGTTCAGAATGCTGTAATGCCCCTCTAGTGGCAGCACAATGCTCTGCAGCTTTGGCCAGTAGCAGCTTCATTTCAGGGATGGGGTGGGTTGGGCTGATACTGCAGCCTTGGCAAAAACCTTACAGTCTCTCTCTCTCATACACACCCACAAGTACACACACAAAACACACACATTCAGTGGCTTATCCTGTACTTCAGCACTTCCACACATTAAGCTTGCCTGGCTTCTGAACTGAGAAAAGAGCTATTTAATTCAGCATAGGTAGCTCACGCTCATATACATACATAGTCAGGCGTACGGTCACCTGAACAAACGCACATGCGCCTCAATGTGACAAAGCCAGACTGACCTGTGGAAGACAAAAAACAGGAAGTTAGAAATACTCGAGGAAGGATAGCAGAAAAGATGAAAGCAATAGAGAAGAATGACAGCCGCAATATGTCAGCACAGGACCGGGCTCCTATTAATCTTCATAAGTGGACAAGTAGAGTCAGGGAAATACAGAGGGAGGATGTGCACGAGGCGAGAGAAAGAGAATCACTGTGGAGAGAATATATGTCTTCACAACTCTCCATGTCTCCCTCTCTTGTTTTGTATGTACGCAGTGCCGGAGCTCTTGCTGAGAAAATAAAGCATCTTGACCATCACTCACTACTGGGTTTGAGTCAGCCTCAGACAGAATCCGAGCAGCCAGACCATAATTCAATCAGTCTGATTAATAGACATAGAGGTGAAGTGGCCTGAGTTTTTAAACTCTATTCAGAAGTAATGTACTGTCCTGAAACTACAAGATACGAACCCCACCAGGACGACGAGTTCACCTTCCAATGCTGATTTAACTCAATTTAAGTTGGGCATAATGCAATAAGATTGTAAGACCCTGAAGAATATAAACTCCATTGTTCCTCTGAGAAAGAGAAGCAGAGCAAGAAGTAAAACACTACATAACATTTTATTGTTACTTAGCTTCTGTCTTTAATGTCTAATTATTTTAGAGCTTTCTTGATGAAGGTTACAATGTGACAATAAGAGTTTCATTTTTCTTTTATGTAGGCAAACTAAACTAAAGCCATTTTTAAAATAATAAAAACAATAATAAGAGGGCAATTTCTTGTTATTAATCAGCTAACTCATACAAAGACATAAATACCGTTCAAATCAGCAGGTTACTTTTCAGAAATTTATCTTTAACAAACTTTGTATATTGTTTATGTGGTAACTGCATAGTTACTACACTGTTGTGACAGCTACCTAGCTAGATTGTTACTGCAATATCTTCTTCTGTTTTCCATTTAATTTCCTGGTATGTCAGATGGTTACATAACAAAAGGACCAAACTCAGCCAAATGAGTTCAGTTAATGTATGACTGAAAAAAGTAGAATTACAAAATAATTTATTAATACACTTTAAAAAGGATTATATGCAAATGGAGGCACACAGTGACTGCCCGTGTCTTTCTGCACTGGGGTATGTTTTAAACCAGTCTAGGTCTTGTAGCATGTCATTAACATTTGTATAAGGACAGTGACATTTCCAAACATTCGTTTTCGGTTTGCCTTGCACCATCAGTCCCATTCCTAACCCCAGAGAGAGGAAGCAGCAAAGAATCCAAAGATGAAAGAGGAGACGAGTGGAAAGAGCAAGAGGTGCGCAACAAAGCGGAAACAAAGGGGTCCGGTGATAAATAAACACGCCTTGGGAGCGTCAGTGAGTCTGTGCTGCAGTGGATTTGTGCACAACATCTTCATTTGTTGCACAGTCTTGTTGACAGTATGACAGCATAATCTGCATTGCTTTGCTGAGTCAGACACCCACAACTCTATATGCATAAACTTCCTGTGTTATTGAAACTAAACTGGTGGAGCGACTGCCAACAGCAGTAAATGACCCATTCATACCCAAATACACAGGCTGCTCTTGATTAAAAAATGAATACATATTTGATGTGTCTATCATGTCGTTTTCCACTTCAGCATTTAATATCTTGCCTCAGGGGACAGATGTTGCAATTAAGGGAGACGCTCTTATCAATCAGTGCAAGTGGAGTCCAAAGAAGTCTTTTAAAGCTGGAGTCAATCACTCAGCTGCCTCTACTCAACAACTTTAGCACT